TCACTACAAGGGTTAATTTTAATTTCTTCAAGAATAGTTCCGTAGATAGCTGTACCTCGAACGCTTTTCATTTACAATACAACTGAAGAACCGTTCTCGGACAAATAGAGTTTACTGTAATGTTATCGCAGCCTGGTCCGGACCGAGAACGGAACACACTTTATAGTGGCATTGTGTAAAAGGAGCTAATGTTTGAGACAAAAAAAGAACATTCTTATGCATGCTTAAATTTGAGATGCTTAAATTGAAAAGCAATATGCATGATTTAGGTCTATTGATGTATGCTTAAATTTGATATAGTATTGTTGATCGGTTCCACTGTTAACCATAGTCAATATTTTTGACGCAATTTTAGCATTGATTATTTTATATTATATAATCAACAATGACAAATAGAATGACTCTCTTTAAGAAATTGATTAGGGAGTCTGATTATTCAATTTTAACAATTAGTCCATTTCATTATTGATATCGTGGAGAAAATCAATTAAAAGTTGAGAGAAAGAACAGTTAATAATGATTAAAAATTACCAAATAATAGACCATAATTTCATTAAATAGAGATTAATCTCTGGGGAAGGAATTTATTGCTTTGGAAACAGTCAGTTCCTGATTTTATTTGTAATAAATGGAACAATTCCTATGGACTCTAAATTAAGTAGGTTACAGGATAGGATGAATATGATTATTTTGGTGCCAAATTTGCAGTAGGAATTAACTGGTTTGAAAAAGTCAGTTCCTGATATTTTTTGTATTTAATAGAAATATTCCTAAAATGTCTACATGAGGGTTGTAAATTGCAGGAAAATGTGATGATTTCGGCGCCAAATTGCAGTGTAACAAACATTTGCATGCGTCAGATATAGAGAGTGATTTTCAAATAAATTATGAAATGCAAAATGGCAAAATTTATGTGAACTTGAATTGTACTTACCTTAACTTAATTCTCAGTTTGACTTTTGACGGTTGGTAAATGACAAGTAAAAGTTCGCATCCAGCTAACTGATTATCACAGACTAGGTAGAGCTACTATCTCAAAAGGAATTATTTTTGAGGATTATTTTGATGGCTTCAGTCGACACTTCTCCAATCCTGTGTCCCTGTGATTAACAGAATTTGTAAAGTTTCACCAATATCTTGTCTTGGTGATAGTCTGTTAGTCAGTAGTCAGAAGGCTTCAAATAATGATAAACAAATTTATCAGAAAGTCTTTACACCACAGGAAATTCCTAGTTGATTCCAAAAATGATTCCGATAGAAAATAAACAGGAAAAACTATTGCCAAAATGACCAAATATGGCATTAAAAATGAGGTGCAGATATAGCTTGTTTTGGTTCCTGATAGTTTTTAAGAGTTCCTAGACCACTCATGCAGACAAACTTGAAGACCTCAGCTGTCCACACAGAAACAAATTTACTTCTAAATTTTAGTCAATCAGTTTTCAACCATGTGTAAGATTTAGACCAAAATTGTTGAAAATACAAAGTTATAATTATAATTGTTTGAATTAACTGGATTACAACTAAATCTGGTTTTTGACCTTTTTAGACCAGACATGTTAATTCTTTTGAAACTTCAGTAAATATTTATTAATCCTTTATACAGCCTTAGATCCTAAATCTAGCTTTTGATGAACACATCTGTTAATTTATATGCTAATTAGCTAATCTTAATTAATTGAAAGATTTAGACAGGTATAGTGGCCAGTGTTTTTAACTATATCATATATTCCCTTGGAGTACAATGTTAAAATATGTAAAACGCTAGAAGTTAATGAAATTGAATTTTCTACTTTCAATTCTTCTGTGTTAAGATAAGGTGTAATTGTCTGGTATTGTAAAGTGTACAGAACTAGGATTTAGTTAACATCTAATTATTCCTGTGCCTGTGCTTTCGTAAATTTGTCATTAGTACAAAGTTAGAACTTTCAAACCAATGATAGATTGTATATTTGTTGCACTTGAAAACCACAGTAAAACTATTAATTATAATAAATGGTTTTAACTGATATTATTTCTGTTGTTAGATCAATATATTAATCAATCAACTTTCTCTTTCATCTTTTAATTGATAGATTAATTACATAAAGTAGGTTTATATACTTCACTTATCAATATACTTAATTTATATGACTTCTTTAAAAACTAACAGTGATGTTTCTATGAATGATAAGGTGGCTGGGGAGGGAGGCTAGAAGGGGGTCACAGAATTGTCAAGGGCAGACTGGCAATGCTTTCTCATGCTTCCCTACAGACAGCCTTTTTACAATCTCTTTAATAATGTTGACTCTCTAACCTTACCACTGCAGTGGAAAAGATCAGTTGATATCAAGTGAGATTGTTGTCTGCTAGGCTATTAGGGGCCATAGGTTCGAATCCTTCTCAAGGTAAGAAAACTTCTGATGCCTGAGCTGGTGTTTTTTGTAGTCAGCTGGGAACGTTTAAGCCCTATCTCCAGTAAGATAAATTCTGCCTCTGGGAGTCCATTGGGTGCAACTTTCAACCCTTACCACTAGTTAGATCAGAAATGTTACATAAACAGGAAGAATAATAATTGGAAAATAAAATATCAGGTAGTTAACAGACGTTAAATTCTATATTAGTATTTTAAAACGCCTGGAAACTAAATTATATACAGTTCTACATGGTAATTATTGAAAGGAAATGGAATAGATTCAGTTTCTCATTTATTATCTAATTTAAAACTTGCTGGAAGGTATATGAGGTACAAGTGTATATCAATTTTATAATCTTAGTTCTATAGTACTTTGAAGAGTTCTTGCCCTTGTTTCCTAAACATCTTATGCCAAATCTAATTTTCTTTTTTTAAGATAAGAATGAAGCAAATCGTTGAAAACCTCTTCAGAAACACTCTATTTTCAGGTTATATTATAGATACTTCCAAGTATAGAAAGTAAATTGTCGCACACCACCACTTTAAACGGAATGTGTCATGTTGAAATGATGATGTATAGGATTTATATAGTTAATAGAAATATACAGACAAGAAATTGTCATTAATATTCCCGTTCCAGACTGTTTATAACTAACTTACATCAAAGATTTCTTTATAAAAACCATTTAAAACTATACTACAGTCTAAATTACACTCATTATTTTCTCTATAAAGTATTCAAATGACATTTTATATATTCTGTCTGGTAAAATAATGCAATGAAAATTGAATTCTGGAGAGATATAAATGTCTAAATGTAGTTAAAAGAACTTAATTCATGCTATCAGTATCCCTTTTTCTGAAGGATTAGATTTTTAATCGTATTGCAGACAAACACTAAGTCAGGTTCACATGGGAATTCAAATTGATTTGGTGCATTCTGGCACATAATTTAGGAAAAACTGTATTTGACGAAATATTCACTGCAAAGAGATAAGAGTATAAAATCATATTCAAAATTATTTCAAAATAAAGTGGGGGTACAAACAATGTTACTAGGGTGACAAGTTCACGTCTATACCCTGTCTGGCACCTCCACTCTCCACTGGTCAGTACTAGAAGCAGCATTTTTATTGGCGCTGATTTTTAAGTTATAACATCTTGTTATTATTACCATAACAACCTGACAGACGGACAGACATTGATATTTACTGACACTTGACAATATTTCATTATATCTAATGACAGTGTCATCATGACGTCAGTGTCGGTACTATGACTCATTTAGAAGTGTCAATAATAACTCTGTGTTTATGGTACTATAATGGTACGGATGTTTGTATTAAGCTTGTATCATAGGGCATTAATACTGATATTCGATATGTTAGCTTGTCACTTGGAGATTCTAATCAAAAGACTTGGAAGGACTGTTGATTTAGCTGTATTTGCCTGTCATGTCTGTCTGAAACTAGGCATTAATACTAATATTTGATGTTTTTGTTGGTCACTCTTGGAGATTCAAAGATCGAAAAGGGCTGTTGATTTGGCTGTATTTGCCAGTCTTGTCTGACTGAAACTAGGCATTAATACTGATATTTGATGTGTAAGCTAGTCACTCTTCGGATTGTTCATATTCTATGACTGAAAAGGGATCTTGATTTAGCTATACTTGCCATTTGTGCCTTCAGTCATAATTCCAGTTGAACCAGCTGTAAATTGGAATGGATAATTCTAGAAAGATCAATGCCAAGAGGTTTGGCCAAGGATCAGCTGGTAGAAAGGATCCTTAATTGTGAACCTAAATTGTTATTGTTTCTTTCTTAGCTTGTCTTTTTCTGATTCTATGAAAAGTGTTGTTGAATAAGCTATATTTGCCAGTCATGTTTGACTGAAACTCTTTTCATTTCTGAACTACTGTCTTTTAAGTCTTTATTTGTGTCAATTTGATTAACTGCAAATGGAAAAATTCTCAGGATTGGTTTTTTCATGGTCTTGATTGCCTTTAATCTTTGAGGTGGAATTCATTCCAATGATGAATCACATCATTCTGCAGCACAATGTCAGGAATTTATGGTAATTATGGTTGACTATTGCTGCCAAAAAGAGAAATATTGTTTGATGTCTTGTGAATATATTAAGAAATATTGGTGGTGATGTCATAGGTTAATGGGTTGATTAAAGATGAAAGTTAATTGTATTGTGTTAAAAGCGGTTTGAATTTTAAAAAATGAAGGCATGAAATGAGTTTAAGATACATCAATGGTGTGAAAGAATGATAGAAAGAGTTTAATGTCCATCAACCCTGTATTCCCACTGTCCATGATGCAGATCGGAGAAGCTGACATGGAAAAAGCGTCTAGTTGTTGGAAGGCCTGGTGTGCTACAGGCCGTGCACGTTAAAGATCCCTCGACAGTTGGAAATTGAAAAAGAGTAGGATTATGCTGCAGTACTGGCAAAATTTCCCTCATTGCACCCGGCATGGCGTTGCCCGTCTTCATCAGCCCAATTAGGTGAAATCAAGTTGGACGTAAAACTTCATTCATTTCATTTATCAATTTATCCTTATAATGTTTGTATAATGTCGTGTATATTTATATATTTCAGACTCTAACTGTTCTTAATCCAATGAAATCAGCTGACCATTCTATCATGCAGGACACAGATTTAGCTGGTCCACTCGTCTTCTGTTTGGCGTTCGGTGGATCTCTTATGTTGGTAAGTATTATTTCTGACCAGTGTAATAAAAGTTTCAACAAGTCAGTTTGTGATAGGGATTAAAAAGTGACACCAATTGGAATTTTTCCGACATTTAGAGGATTCAAACCCATTGCACCTTATCACCTGATCATAATCAAAACTTTTTGCTTTTCTATCAACAAATAACAAGTTGGTGTCAAATCAATAGCTCTATTGTTAAAAAAGAACTATTAAAATCTCCCTTGCTTCTTGTACTTAGGAACTGAAGAGTTATGTCCCCTTATTTAATTAATTTGGCCACCAGATATTGCTTTGTGTATCCCTTAATAAATTGAGACATACAAGGGGGTGGAGCACGATAGGGTATGCTTACTCTTCTAGACACCTGATACCATTTTCATTACTTGTAATTGATATACTTCCTCATGAAAAGTTCATTAGCTGCTACCTATTGCCAACATGTTGCTTTGCATTTAGGATTGAATTTTACTGTTCAGATTGTTTTGTATAATAATATATTTATTTCAGTCTGGTAAACTGCATTTTGGTTATATTTATGGTATTGGGGTAGTAGGATGTTTAGCTATGTATTTATTATTAAATTTAATGAGTTTAACTGGTGTATCAGTGGGTATTATTATCAGTGTATTTGGTTATTGTTTATTACCAATGGTTCTCTTGTCCTTTACTTCAGTCGTTATGTCATTACAGTAAGTATTCATTAATTGGTACTACTATTACCTTTTATAATTATATCCTGTGCATCCAGCAAGTTAATTTTTATTGTTCTGTTGCCTGTTGCATTGTTTGATAATGCGAATTTCACAAATTTGTCTGCCAAAATTGGAAGGTACCCTTTGTCCCCTCTTGTATTCAATGATATTTTCCAACCAAATTTTTATCTATTTTAGAGGAATACTAGGCTTGGTATTTACAATAGCTACAGTTTTATGGTGTAGCATATCAGCTTCCAAGTTATTTGTCTCTGCTCTGGCCATGGATAAACAACAACTTCTAGTCGCTTACCCTTGTGCTCTGGTCTACGGTGTATTTGCCTTGTTGACGGTATTTTAATCTTGTTCAAACAACGAGATATGTCATCTGATTTAAATACAACTTGAGATATTTTATAAAGGGGTCTTCTCACTATAGCAAGTTATCATCTATTACTAAAGGTGCCCTCACACCATAGCAATCATCAGTTAAGAATAAGAATAGCGATTATAAGTTTTGAATGCAACTCTCATGTAACTGAGTTGTAAGTTGTTCGGATCTCGTGACAGCTACTCTTATTCTCTAGAACCAATGAGAATAAAATATTTAAAGCTGTGTTTTAATAAGATAGACTTCATTTGTACAATATCTTCATTTTATTTTACTTATCTTATGTGTAATAAATTAAATTGGAGATGGGTATATTTTATGGTAAATGTATTATATATGTATACGTTCCTTTCATTTTTTAAGGAGACTTTATTAAAGTCCTGCATGTTATTTTAACGATTAACAGAGTTGATGTGATCATTATTGGATTCTACCGAAAAATAGTTCAACACCTTCCTCACTCAAGTTTTCACGTACTGGTAAAGTTTTCACATATGAGATGAAATAGAAAGTTTTGAATATAAACAGATCAATGTAAGAAAACTATTGAGTGTAGAAATCTACTCTGTTGAAGTAATTGTGGTTTCAAACATATACTGTATAATTTTGAATGTATTGCGCACCTTTTTTGTCCTCATTTTGAAAAAGTTCTGTCATTTCATAAAGAAATATTATGTATTATGTATAAAGTGTTGAATAAAACACTCAATCTGCTGTATGACAAGTTTAATAATAATTAACAACACTACACACAGGATGTAAAGAGACAAGGGGAAGCGTTTTGATGCACTATGTGGGAGGAAGATTATTAACTACCAGGACTGAAAGGAAATTAGAGAAAATGGTTGACACTCTCCTAAATAAGAGAAACAAAATGTTCCAGCCTATGTATGTTTATCTATCGAGGGAGCATAGCTGTTTGCACCGTTCCAATTTTCATTTAGACGTTAGTGGTTCCTTTATTCTTAGACAGACTAAACCAGATTATAATGCAACTATCACAAGTACAACTTGAGAGACTAAAATATTTTATCAAAATCTCCTCAAAGCATGATTACACTACAGATATATACAAATTAAATCTTTTGAAGATTTCAAAGAGGTTTTCTAACCTTTTCATTGATCTGTTTATTCGCTATGATCAATTTTAGTAACAGTCTGAATGTCAAATCTGTTGACTTTCATTAAAGGAAATGGGACTGATTCAAATACAAGGAGGAAATTCCTGCAAATGAAAATCTCTTTGAATTCCTTTCATGTTACAAATTAAAATAACTTTAAATTAAAATGCAGCGGTCTATATACATTGATATCACAATTAATGGCTTTGACTTAAAATAAGGAAGGAGGGAGGGGTGGAAGGAGGGAGGGGTGGAAGGGGAGGGGGGACGTTAAAATTCTTTCTTTCATTCAAGCAGTATCTTTCTTCTTTTTCTTTGGTGTTTTATTCATCTTTTCCCATGTTTCAGCAGTTCTTCTATCAGCCTTTGTAACGGCACTAAAATCAAAATTCACCAACCATGGCATATTAGCCAATACATATTGTCTGTAACCCTGGAAACACAAAAAATCATAATGATATTTTAGGCTTAGTTGTCTACAAGCGCAGTGGAACCATCTAAAAAGTGGCTGAATTATACTTTTAATTTAAAGTTATTGTAAACATTTTATGTGTATTAGGGACACTGATAGTATGGATTTGCACCATTCAAATTTTTAGTCGACCATCTGTGGGCTTTGCCCTAGCTCTAGCCCCCCCTGACTGTACAACGCGTGGTTTATATTTTACCTTGGTATTTTCTATTGTGTTGCCATGTAAGGTCAGTTTCCTTAAATTTGTTAAAGTTTGTAATTTATCCATTTCTGAGATATTTGTTATTTGGTTTCCATGGAGATACAGTATTTCTAAACCTGTAAACTGACATAAAATCTGAAATGATAAAAAAAATAAGAATTTTAACACATAATCTGTGCTAGTTTGATGCAGGGAAAGGACATAGTTCAGTGGACAATATAACAGCATCAATATAAAAGGCCAGGAACGTTTCAATTTCTTAATTTTCAACCCTAGTCCTCAGTTGTCAGTGATGCAGGTGGGAGGGTCTGATGTGGAAAAAATGTCTAGTTTCTCGGGTTCGAAAAGAAATTGAATCTCTGTATTAAATAAAAGACACAAATCCATACCCAAGGGTAGACTATAAAAACTAATCTGGAGTAATAATAGTATAGTAATGGACTCCTCAAACAAGAAGTATCATCAGGTGTTTGGAAAAACTATAAGTACCCAATTAATATAAAAAACTTACTGGATCAATGTTGGTTAAATCATTAAAAGATAAATCTAACCAACCCAGAGACCTGGCATCTTTAAATAAGTTGGTGATTATTTCGGGTAGAAGTGATATTTCTGTTAATGAGTTATTATTTAACCTTAAACACCGACTCCCTGATTTCTTCTCTTTATTGTTAGATGGGATTGGAGCTTTCTTCTGTAGTAAATACGGCCTGGGTTCTTCATCATAAATATCTAGATTATGAAAAAAAATTATCAGCGTCAGCCAATGACAGTGGCTTTTAATATCTTGCTAGGGCAGATAACATAACCAAGGTCTTGGATTGTATTTGGGTTGATGAAAAATGAACACTAATTTAGTTTATTATGGGGTTCATCTTGAACAACCCCCCAGGGTAATAGGACGCTATGAAGGGTTCATATAGACCAGGATGCAATAAAATCACACTATTTTTTACACTACTGAAATTATGAGCGTTCTAAGAACAGTTCAATAATAATAACGTTAATGGTCTGTAAGAGGATAACTTAATTATCAAGGAAAAACAAAAATGTAAATTTACCTGCTAAATTAGCAAGTTTAAGATAAGAATAGTCTAAAGGTGGTTGACTGTCATTGGTAGCGTCTACAGCAGGTAAAGTTGATGATTTCTTCACATACGGTACAACACTGAAATTTTCCAACACAAATTAAACACTTGTTAATCCATTGACTTTTTTTTTTAAAAAATTGAAGAAAAACATCTTTAAAACAAAATGTCAACCCAATTTTGTCATTTTGTAAGAGAAAAATAATCATTCCATAGCTGATAAAATTATTAAATAATATAACATAAGATCTTCTGTCGTTCTGACATCATTGTAAAAAAAAAAGTGGATACAAAAAAATGATTTATAAATTCACATATAAGGACTTTTCCATATCAGGACTAAAAATCAATTGCATTTTAAATTTCCACAAATCATGGGTGAGATATGGTTGGCAGTTGGCAAATCCGTGACACCGATATTTGAAATTAAAAGGTGAACACAACTCAAAAAGTAATCAAATTACCTCGTTCCTGAAGACATTTTACTTTTAACTGATACAATGAACTATGAACTGTGTTGTACAGTTAATCTCGTAAATATACACGGGCTAAAACAATCAGATTAATTAAAAAAACACCTTTAATTACATTTCAAAACAAATCAATGGGCGCCACCATTTTGTTGCTGTGACAACGATTGGTTGAGGACCCGTATGTAGAACAAAGGGCAATCTAAAAATAGATTTTCCGATTCGTGGATCGTGACACGGAAACGACCGATGATTAGCGGATGATTTTGATTGGTTCTCACAAATTCCGTCCAATCCCGGCCGACTCGGTCTATCATCGGAGATGCCCGCTAAAATTCAAAGGTGTATCATGAGAAGAAATTTCAAAAATGGCCAGCAAGGATTTGAATGAGTCAGTGTAAAGAAAATGGTTTGAAAACAAAGATGCTTTAGGTTTGTAACGTGTGCTTCCATTAATAACATCTTGATACTTTGTTGAGCAAATCTTTATCTTAAAAAATCTGCTTTGTTTACTTCCATACGTCGGATCAAAATATTTTGAAATGGCTGGATTCGAAATGCAACAAAAACAGTGAAATAAAAATGGATGCCCCTCCCTTGGTCCCTATTTGCTAGCATCATTTTATGTCCTTCTGCACTGTCTATTTCTTATTCAATATTGGCGTTATGAGATCATTGGTGTGGAGGAAGACAGAAAAGGGGAATGAAGGGGCCTTTGACTTTCATGCAAGTTGCATCATAATAATTGCACTGCTGATGATATGAGAAGATAGACTATATCGCATCCTATGTTACGTATGTAGGCCAAGGAATGATTGAACCTGGACTTAAGGTTTCTGCAAGTGCCTCACTACTTTGTCCAAATAGATCTAGTCCTGTAGTAAGCCTAAGAATTGAACTTGAGACATCTAGGATTCTAGGCCTAACATAAGCCATACTTTCTTTGCTCTTTCATTTAGTTTGCGATATCAGCATCCGCTGGAAGCGAACGTTAACTTGTCATCTACCTACCTACCTGCTCTTTCAATGGTAAATCAAAAAACCTTGATAACGCTTCTAGACTTAGCTCTAGCAATTTTAGCACAAGCATTATAATATAACAGCTTAATCATTTATGAGGTACTGGTACTGCAATACACAAGCATCAGCTCTGAAAGTGAAAGATTCCAAAATCCATAATTTTAGAAATCAACATAAGTTCACAAGTATGGTTTCTATTTCAGATTAAAGTCATTGTAATTGTGTAAAAACAGAATTTTATGTTATTGTAAAAATGGATCCTGGCAAGAAACGAGCTTTGATAGATTGGGTAAGTAAGCTTATCAAACATAGAGACATTTAGAATATACATTATTAACATAGTTAACGTAAGCTTTTTACCTGAAAAAGTGGGCTGAGTTTGTCTTGAAAAGTGGGCCAAGTTTGTTTTGGTCCGAGTTGTCTTGTATTCATCTAGACCTATGTGCAACTGTTTTTGACATAAGGCCTACAGTACCAAACTTTAAGCCTCTTATCTAAAGAGTATTTAAATATGAATTTCTGTAGGTCAATGCAATCGATGAAGAAGCCAATCTGAATTCCCTGCATGATTTAAAAGATGGAAAACAATTAATCAATCTTCTCAAGCTATCGTAAGTTTTTATACTATTTTATTTTATAACCTTGGCTAACTGTCTTTAAAATGAAAGTGTAACCTTTCTGATCACTATGACCTTTCACATCCAAGCATATCCAGGTGTAAATCAAAATCATTCACCATTTTTCATTTTTACTATTTGAAATTTGTCCAAAAGACCAAGATCAACATGTTGTATGTATGCAAATCAACTGCTCTTATATTCAGATCATTTCAAAATGCTGGAACCAGATTGGTCTAAATTGAAGTTATAAGTACACCTCATACATAGACTAGGACAAACCTTTGTAACTAAAATTAGACTGGATATTGTGACCATTGTTATTACAGATTTGTCACTAACTTATTGTTTTCTATGTGAAGTTGTATTTAATAGTAAATACTGTATATTAATTTCAGTGATTTAACCACAACACCTAATGGAGATAAAAGTTGGATGCAAAATGTCCAAGAATATATTGAGAGTATGTGTATTTTAAGTAATATTTCTGTAAATAGTACTGCAAGTGTCTCGGCTTTGAAAAATGTAAAAAGTTGAAAAAACAATACAATTTCCTTTCAAATAGGTTTATGTAGATAGGAAATTACATCAGTTTAAAAGTAATGGAACTACTAGTAGATTATTTCAACCATCAGATTTCAAGTTTTAGGCTGGGTTCTTCTGCAATTTTGTGTAAATGTTATAGCTGATATTGAGCTCTATGAATCTTCAATTCATTGGACTGACTTGGACTGAGTTGGACTATTGATACAGTTGAAATAGTTATGAAATAAGACTTCAATTAATTTATTTATTTTGTTGAGAGAAAGATTAGTGTTTTATCTCTAAGTGCTGTTATTATTATTTTTTTTTCAGAATTTTTTCATCTTGATTTTAGTCAACATAATTTGATAGATTTTGATCTCATCTATAACTCACAAGATAAAAACAATACAGTTGAATTTGAACTAGCTAAGGTGAGTAACTTTTACATGGGGAACTTCTATAAGCTTAGTCTTATTATACAATAACAAAAACTGTGAAATAGTGGGTAATATTTAAGTGTGAAAATTATGAAAACAAACATTATGATGTGTCCCCAGATGACAGTATCATAATGGCAGTATTGTTTATAACATGGTTAAAGTGTCAGGTGTCATGAAATATAAAAACAATGGAGTATTGATTTAATTAATAGAATCAAAGACATTGACACCTGGCAGCAATCAAGGTCAATCAAGATCAATCAGAACTCAGCTGGTCAATGGATTTACACCGAGACCAACTTGTTACTGTTTTGATTGCTACAATGATCAACACAGCTGGAATTGTTTTAGTTTTCTAATATAAGGCAAACCCAACTTTAAGCTACCTTAGTTTAAAGAATGGCATAGGTCATGTTAGGTTAAGACACGACAGTATAAGATTTTTAAGTTGTGGTCCCTCTCTCATGAAAACTCCATTCATTTCATTAATCCTATAAGGTATAATTCATTTTGTTTTGTTATTAAAGAAGTGTGTTATACCATATTATATTCACTGTGTTTCATACTCTCCGCTTCTAAATCTCGTTCAAATATTATACAAATCTTCCTATCACATGGTAAAATGTTCTCTAAGTTTGAACTAATATTTTTGACAGGTATTATTAGCTGTATTAAGTACCTCAGTTCAAGGGAAGAACGGTCATTTATTTGTGTGTCCAGCCATGAATCTAGATCTAACAGTACAGATGAGTATCAAAGAGTTGCTGGAGAGTGTCTTGTGTCCTAACGATCCACAGACAATGTTACCTTCCGACTTCGCTGATATTCTTACACGTTCAACTGGTATGTATTTATTCTTATCAACTAGAACTGAGAGGATGGCCCTTCGTCCTCTTAGGATGATCAAAAGATTAAAAGTTTTCAACTTGTCAAAATTAGTCTTTGTTCATCAGTGGACATACATGGTGTCATAAATATACAACAGAATCCTTCTATAATCTAATAAATCATAAAACTAAGTTAACTAAGTAATAATTCATTTTAAGTCATTTTGAAATACGTCTTGACTTGAGACCCCCAGCTTGATGACTGCACACTGTTCATGCAAATATATAAGACTAAAATGTCGATCCAAAATTGGAAGCAACACCCAGATCCATCCCTGCTTATGACTAGCTCAATATACACTGCCTTGCCAAAACTCTAGAGCCAGGAGTAGCTAGTGGTGAAGTGAATGTTGGTTTTCTTTCCTTCTGCTTAGAAAAGGGTAATCGTGACGAAGCTACTCTTTTCTTTCGCCTAGTCGCCAACACCAGTCGTCCCTCTACACCTATCTGTATGACACCTAATGGAGAGGACCAATTCTTTCCATCGAATATCAGCTTCAATAATACATCCTGTACGTAAGACTTGCACCGTTCAACAGTTTCACTTGAGTTTTCTTTTAGCCCTCACTTGTTATTTTTTACCCGGTTTCACAATTTCACATAATGATTTTAGTTTTCTAGTCATCTGATTGGTCAATAATTCAAATTTATTTTAAATTTAGTTATATTATCCAATCAAATGTCTGTTTCTTAACCCTTTCAACCCTTGTGCAATTATGCAATACATATATATACCTGAGTGGCTGGTAACCAAGTGACGTCACACAATGTTAAGGGTATATGACGTTTTATTTCACTCAGTGTATAAAGGGTTAAAATCTGTTTTTGTCATGATTCAGTTTTGATGAAATATATTCTTATTTCCAATCTAACATACACAAGTTAAAATTGTTAAAACTTGATAGTTGTATCTGGTATATGATTGGTTTTAAACACAGTTAAAAAGTTAATGCACAACACTTCAGCACCAATGCGAAATAGTTTAAAATTAAGTTTAATAAATCTGATTATGAAAAAGAATTGATGTAATTTTCTTATATTAACATTGAAACTAAAACTTTTAGAATTTTTG